CAGCAGGAACACTACAGATCCTTTTAGGGCTACTCCAGCAACTGTGTTGGATCAAGATACATTCAGTAACGGTAACTTTAAGGTGTCTACCTCGAAAGTAGAACTCCCACTATCAGAAGTTAGTTATTTCAAGATTCAGCTGAAAGTAGTCAGATACAGGTAGAGAGAGACACTTAAAGACTGGAGTCAAGGTATCTTCACCAGTCCTTTTGGATCTTGACTTAGATTTATGTGCCTCGCTTCTCATGAGTCATACTTGACTGGCCTACATCCCTAGTAGTGCCCTTAAACTGGCACCACTATCCTTCTGTTGTAAACAGTGCTATGCTGTGTTATAAAGAGTTCAACGTGTCTTACCTTCAGGGTGTTCTGGCATGGTCAATGCCAGCCAACTCATATCCATGCTGAACTGGCTGGTAATGCTAGAGTTTCTGCTTGAAAATCCAATACATGGAATAGTGCCAATCACCAGAGGCATTTCAATCATCAATTTCTTAGCACCAGGAATATGGATATACACCTATGTGACAACCCCCAAAGGAAAGGAAAAAACATTGTAAGACCCCATTGAATTGCTGTTCCTAGAAGCTACCCTACTCCCTATATTGCAGATTGTTTAAAAACTAGTTTTTCTCATCCCAGATATGTTTAGCTAATACCCTGCAAATTTCCTTATTTTTCAGCAACTTTGTTCTTTCTGTACCTCATCTCTAGATGAGAAAAAAAATACAAAACAGGTTGATAAAAGTAGTTATGCACTTGACTTTCAGTCCTATCTTCCCATTTCTGAAAAGAACCACTAGAGGAACCCCATCAGCTTGAACTACTTTCTAAAGGTCTAAAACTAAGCTGCTTCTTCCTCAGCAACATTTTTCCCTTTCCCCCATTATTCCTATCTTTCCATTTCAGAATCTCTTTATGATCTTCAGTCTCTCACCTGTACAGTGTAAGATATTGATTTATATTTATTGTTGTTCCCAAATGCAAAATCTAATAGCTGCTCAGTAGAGAAAATTCTTCTGTCCCCAACTCAACGTGGCATTCAAGAGTATGTACATTTGTAATAAAAATCCATACTTACAGCTAATGAATATTCTACTCTAATAATACAGCAGTCAAGTATAGAGGGGGATACAGGTGGGATTTTCAGAGTTTTCCCATTCCAGGTATCTGTACTCCCAGAGGCAATATGGTTTCCTCGGACATTGGCAACCATCTGACGGAAAGTTTTTGTCTTCCCACTGGCCAGGTAAGTTTGTGTTTGGAAAATGGCAGCTTTTGGAACAATCAAACGAGAAGAGCAGTTCTCAATTTCTGCATAGATTGGTATAGCTTCCCCTTGAAGACAGAAGAAGTTCAATGATTAATTTGTATTTACCAACTTTCCTCTGGGAGTATCAAAGCATGTTATGCAGCACATACATCATCTGCAATGTTATGAGAACAATACTTAATAGTTTCCTCAGCTAATGGTTTGGGTTTGTTTTTTTTTTTTTTCCCCCTCAGAGTGGTATCCAGGCAGAATTATAGCCACCTACTACATTTTACATATAAACAATGATTCATTTTGAAACATTAAGCATAATATGAACAAGCTATAAAAGCTCTATTTGCAAATTATGCGCCAATCTTCCTTTTATAGAGTACTGAATTTCAGAATGTTTTATTTTATTTTTTCAATGTATTTAATGTTATCAAGATGACAAAGTAGCTGCTAAAGCTCATTCTTACAGAAGTGTAAACCTACACAAACAGGACATAAAAACCTGGTTAGATTAAGTATTTTATCCCAAATAAAAGCATTGTGTTGTTCTTTACACTCAAACGTATATGGCTTTTCCATAAGATTACTGACTAACAGGGCTTCCTTTCAATTTGTGTTCCCAAGGGGGCATGAGGGAAAAGGGCAAGATGATTTTTGGTAAAGCAAGTTCATATAGATCTCAACTGACTACCTACTAAATGGAACTGTTCTTTCAATGATAAAGTATTGGCTTCAAAGAGATGAAAAAAAGTCTGTTAGTTGTTTAATATTCACATTTTGAAGATAACTACTCTTACCATTACAGTATCCCTTCCTCTCAATTTTGGCACTGAGAGACACTGGCCCAGAGGTGAAAAACCAACAGCCAACCATCTTTTCCTGACTTCTTAGAACAGGTGTCTGTAAAATATAAAGTATTTTTCATTTTATGGCATAAAGCTATCAGTCACTTGCAGGTTAATGTTATGTGTATCAGTCACTGCAACCTAGCCCTAAAATCCACTTGATTTGTATCACTGTCCTACTCAATGAAACCGGAGTTTTGCCACCATGTAAAATGGAACCAAGGTTTGGCTACCTAAACATATGGCTGGTTTAAAACCCCACTCTGCATTTAGACCATATCGACAAGGTAACACAGAGAGCAATGTGCATTTGAATGTAATCTGTCTTCAGAAAGACTGATGTAGCAAATTTTATAGGGGTGACTTTTTAAAAGATCTAATGGAGTACTGCAGTATTTATGCCCATGTTCCTCAGTGCAGAAGAATGCAGAATTCATTTCATCTGCAAGCAACTAATAGCTAAGCAGGTAAACTGTTTTTACCTTTGCATCCTTCATAAGGAAGGATAAATGTATGCTGGGCTAAGTAAGTGTACACACACCGGGTAAGGTGACGCATCTTCGTAACTTGCAAGCCATGCAACCCCCAACAAATTTAGGTTTATGACAAAAGCCATCTTAATTGTTCACGGAAGACTGTCACATTAGATGACATTTGCACTGTCTGTAAAATTTTCATTAGAGTAAACATAAAATATACAAGTACACACATCAACTGCCCACGCCAGGATTCAAGCTACTTAAAATGAGGTACCGGGCATTAGTGTCCAGTCAATATAATTATGACATCTAAAATTTGTGTTGTTTTGCTTTGGTGGTAGCCTTGGAATCCATTACGATAGGCACTGCCTACTTTATGTGCCCCACAGCCCTCTCCCGTGCAGTAACCTATGGTACCTAACTCTATCCTTGCAGTATCTACGGTTGTGGTATTTAACGGCTGGACTCTAATCTTAAAGGTCTTTTCCAACCTAAACAATTCTATGATTCTATCTGGATATGCTGTCTTCATACTCCTAACATACATTGTTGAATATAAAGACTATATTCTGCTTATGGATGTCACTGCCAAAATACTTCTTTAAGTTCTCTCCAGAGAGAAAGATTAAAATGTAAGCATATAAAGAGGGGAAAAAAGCCCTGTTCAAAACATCTCTTAGCTACGATCACATCATGATGAAATGTTAAAATTATCCTAGCATTTTAAATAAAATAGAAATTACTCATTCATATTTAAATGAATAACCACTTAGATCCAGTTGCTATCATGAAAGTGCAAGGTATAATTTTATATTATTTTCATAATATGGGTTGAGATAAAAGAATCCAGCTCATTAGCTTCCATCTTGCCTATTTTCTCATTACTTAATGCCTGATCTTTCTTATTACTCTACAGTATTTCTAGTGATTATTAGAAACTCAATGCTTTCATGTGGCCAAATCTGTCATAAGGAAATAACTGAAAAGATCTCTGAAGCAGCTGCATGCACGCACTTAATGTTAGAAAACGACATGCAAAATGGAAGGATACGTAACATAATGGCCAGAGCATAAATGACAGGCTGGGCATGATTAATACTCTTCTGTAATTACTGTTCCTCAACCTACTATTATTGTAGAGTTTAGGACACTGCAGCCCTGTGAATGTAGTTGCTCTGGTAAGAGTAACTACTTTATGCTTGTGCATTATTATTATTAAGCCTTATTTATGCATCTGAAGCCTGCATAACTTTTTGGCAAGAGCATCTCTGCCAGCAGGGATGTAATCAATGGTATTAAAAAAAGCCACTCTGTTTGCTATTCACACAACCTAAGATCATCTATTTATAGAGAAAAGCTTAGGGAGCTTATATGCTTTCAGAAGTCAGAAAATGACACTCCAGAATAACATGGAAATAGCTATGGCTGGATGTGAATGCTTCTTGGGAATGATTTTTTTGCAGCTGGCTTTAAAGGGGGGGGGAAGGAGGAGGAGTAGAGGACACTCTTACCAATAAAGCTGGTGAGCTGACATCGATATGGCTAATGACTTGAAGCTCTGTCTGTACGCTTTGATCAGGTGCTGCAGGCCTCTCCAGAATTGCTTTCACATAGTACTGAATACTGCCATACTTCCCAGTGAAAGAGGTCACCAGAGGTCTGAAACAAGCAGTCATAAAAGCAATACTGTAAGTTTGTAATTCAGTTCCAAACACGAACACCTCCCATGTACATAAATGTTTACCAATTTACAGCTTGTACTTTTAGGGCCTTAGGGAAACCGAAGCAAACACGGCATGTCTATGCGGTGGTTGATTAAGACAAACATATAAAGCTGACCTATCAGTTTGATAGTAAAAAAAAAAACCCCAAGTCAAATTACATGAAGTTAATGTTCCACAACAAAGACTGTCCAGCACAATCCCTTCAGGTTGGATTATTTAACTTACTCTTGAGGGAGTTGAAAGCTGAACGGAAATTCGTGTCTTCCATCTAGAAGAATTAAGCTTTCCTCACCTGTAGGATAAAAATGAATAGTATGTTTTAGTTATTCCATAAATAGAAGAACAAAGCAGACCCTTTTATAAATTATTTACATATAAAAACACCCAGATGCAAGGGACTAGGAGAAGTTTTTATTGATCTCAGTGGGCTCTGGATTGGAGCCCATGCTTTATTTACGCTGTGATGTGATTTCAATGAAAGAAATCAAGGAAACATGGAGACCTTAAGTTTCAGTTCAGGACTCGGGCCAATTTCTAATCCAAAATGGCTTCTGGAAAGCATAAAGCACGTTTCTTTTCCTTTCCATCAGGACAGCAATTAATCTACTTTTTCAGTTAACAATTAAACTAACTTTTGCACTAAAAAGCTGCAATTTAAGGTCAGTGTTACGAAATACTATTAATATATGTAACGTTAATACCTGCATAGCGGGCGTACTCTTAAACATATTTTAAAGGCCTAGATTTACTTTTTCTACAGATAATCTTGAGACGTGTTTCACCCTTACAGAACAAAATGCCATTTCCCTTTAATTTTTCAACACCGCCATAGGGTTGCAGTGTCTTGAGTGACAAAACTACCAGCTAGTGACCTATGCAACAAAGAGCTTCCTTGGCTTCCTCGAGCCACTGTGAAAGGAGGCCGACTGCTTCGAGTGTCTTCCACAGGCAGCTTCACAGATGCTGCTGGCAGAGCAGAACGAACACGCAGGTGGGACGCAATTCATGGAAGAGCCAACCCTTGCAGGAAGCCAACACTGGGCGTAGGAGACAGAGAGAGCTGCGGGCTTTCTTCTGGCTCTGTTCCGCATTTTTCAGCCGTTCAGACAAAGAGCGTTGTGACCCCCTGACGAAGCTGTAGCGAGGCTGCCCC